TTTCCCGCATGATATTTCCTCACAATCCAGTCTAAAATTGCGCTCTCGCGCAGGACTCTTTTATACTTTATGCAGAAATCGCGCTCTCGCGTGCCACTTCCTCGCAGTTTTGTCGAACGCCGCGCCCTAGACGCGCAGGAGTCGTGCTCTCGCTGTGGCTTTTCTCACGGTTTATTTGGAAGAGGGCGGGTATCGAGGGTTTGGGGTATACGTGTTGAGTTGCACGCGAGCCGATAAGAGCGAACCGTCTTAACATGATTGTTGCGTTCTTGTTGTCGTTGTCGTTGTCGTCGTCGTCGTCGTCGTCGTCGTTGTTGTTGTTGTTGTTGTTGTTGTTGTTGTTGTTGTTGTTGTTGTTGTTGTCGTTGTCGTTGTCGTTGTCGTCGTCGTCGTCGTCGTCGTCGTTGTCGTCGTTGTTGTTGTTGTTGTTGTTGTTGTTGTTGTTGTTGTTGTTGTTGTTGTTGTTGTGTGGTTGTTGTTGTTGTTGTTGTTGCTATTGCTGTTGCTTTTGTTGGTGATGTTGTTGTTGTTGTCGTTGTTGAATTTCCATTTCTAAAGAATGTTTTCCTGTTGATCCCCCCTCCGCGGCACATGGTGCCTTTTCAATTGAAGTGCCTTTTCCGGGGCTCGCACCGTGTTTTCTATATGGGAAAGCGAGGTGTCACCAAACTATGCCCCTGGCCCCCGGCTTACAACAACAGCAACAGCGGCTCCCGCCTGATATTTTCTCACAATGTATTTCCAAATCGCGCTCTCGCGGTGGATTTTCTGACAAATTATGCAGGCATTGTGCTCTCGCGTGGGACTTCCTCGCAATTTGTTTTGACGCCGCGCCTTCGACACTCAGGAGTCACGCTCTCGCTGGGGATTTCCAAACGATTTATTTGGGAATCGCGATATCGCTTGAGACTTCCGCGCGATTCATGCGGGACGCTCCCGCTTCAGCAACCCGCCTGCTCGACCTGGCCGCTTCTGCCCGCCTTCCTCACCTGCCCGCCATGGGTCTGCCCACCCGATCTGTCCGTCTGGTTCTGCCACGTGTTTTCTGCTCCTAGCCCCCTTTCTGCTACTCTCTCTCGTGCTCCATCCTCATGCTTCTCCTTTGTCTCTTCCTTCCATCCGTCCTCTCTTCCTCTGGCTTAGGGGCTGCACGAAACACACGTCGCAGGCAAAGAAGATATACCATTACGGGGGTACGATCGAAGACGAAGAGGGCGGGTATCGAGGGTTTGGGATAGTGTGTTGACTGGCACGCGAACAGGCAGAAGCGAACAGTCTTAAAATGATAGTTGTTGACGTTGTTGTTGTTGTTGTTGTGGTTGTTGTTGAACTCTCGCTACTGAAGAACAATTATTGTTGATCCTCTCCCTCTGGGGCACGCTGTGTTTTTCAATTGAAGTGCCCTTCCTGGGGCTCGCACTTTGTTTTTATCAGTGGAAATCTCGAGTATCAGAATTGTGTTGTTGGCCCCCAGTTCACATCACAATATATTCCCACATCGCGCTCTCGCGCGGGATTTCTTCACACATTATGCAGGAATCGCGCTCTCGCGTGGGGCTTCATCGCAATTTATTCAGACGCCGCGCTCTCGACACCCAGGAATCACGCTCTCGCTCTGGCCTTTCTCACGATTTACTTGGGAATCGCGCTGTCTCTCGAGATTTCCTCGCGATTCATGCGGGACGCTCGCTTTAGCAACCCGCCTGCTTGACCTGGCCGCCTGGGCCCGGCACCCATCCTGCTACTCTCTCTCGTGCTCCATCCTCCTCCCTCCCCCTTGTCCGTTCCTTCAATGCGTCCTCTCTTCCCCTGTCTTAGTGGCTGCCCCATAGGAGATACGATCGAAGACGAAGAGGGCGGGTATCGACGGTTTGGGATCTACGTGTTGAATGGCACGCGAGCAGATAGGAGCAAACCGTCTTAAAGTGATTGTTATTGTAGGTGAACATTCACTTCTGAAGAACAATTACTGTCGATCCCCCCTCTGGTGACCACTGTTGTTTCAATTGAAGCGCTTCCCCCAGGGCTCGCACCCTGTTTTTTTATCAGGGAAAGGCACTCGACTCATACTGGGTTGTTGGCCCCAGGTTGACAACAACAGCGGCTCCCGCCTGATATTTCCTAACAATTTATTACCCAATCGCGCTCTCGCGCGGGGGTTCCTCACAATTTGTATACGAATCGCGCTCTCGCGTGGGACTTCCTTGCAGTTTATTGAGAAGATGCACCCTCGGCGCTCAGGAATCACGCTCTCGCTTTGGCTTCTCTCACGATTTACTTGGGAATCTTGCTATCGCTCGAGACTTCCTCACGATTCATACAGGACCCACGCTTCAGCAACCCGCTTGCTCGACCTGGTCGCCTGGGCCCGCCGTCCTGACCTGCCCGCCATGGGTCTACCCACCCGATCTGCCCGCCTGGTTCTACCACTTGTTTTCTGCTCCTTGCCCCCTCCTGCTAATTTCTCTCGTTGTCCATTATTCTCCCTCCCTCTTCCACCCGACTTCCCTTCTTTTGTTTTAGGGGCTACACTACATGCACGTGGCAGGTACGATCGAAGACGAAGAGGGCGGGTATCGAGGGTTTGGGATATACGTTTTGATTGGCACGCGAGCAGATAGGAGCGAATAGTCTTAAACTGATGGTTGTTGTTGTTGTTGTGGTTGTTGTTGTTGTTGTTGTTGTTGTTGTTGTCGTCGTGGTGGTGGTGGTGAAGGTTGTTGTTGAGTTCTCATTCTTGAATGACGATTATGGTTGATCCCCCCACTGGTGCACATTGTATTTTGTTGAAATGCCCCGCTCGGGGCTCGCACCCTGTTTCAATCAGGGAAGTATTCCTGCTCAAACTGCGTTGTTGGGCCCCGAACCACAACAACAACGGCTCCCGCCTGACATTTCCCCACAATTTATTCCAAAGTCGCACGGGACGTCCTCACAAGTTTTGCAGGAATTGCGCTCTCGCGTGGGATCTCCTCGCAAGTTATTCGGACGCCGCGCCCTCGACACTGAGGAATCTCGCTCTTCTTTTGTTTTAGGGGCTGCGCTAAATGCACGTGGCAGGTAAGGAACATATACCCCCAGGGGGGTACGATCGAAAACTAAGAGGGCGGGTACCGAGAGTTCGGGATATACGTGTTGAATGGCACGCGAGCAGATCGACCCGAACAGTCTTAAACTGATTGTTGTTGTTGTTGCTGTTGCTGTTGTTGTCGTCGTTGTTGCTGCTGTTGTGGTTGATGCCGTTGCTGCCGCTGTTGTTGTTGTGTTTGTTGGTTTTCTGGTTGTTGTTGTTGCCGCTGTTGTTGTTGTTGTTGTTGTTGTTGTTGTTGTTGTTGTGTTTTGTTGTTGTTGATGAGTATGCTGAGGATGTTGTTATTGTCGTTGCTGTTGTTGTTTTTGGACTTGCTGTTGTTGTGGTTGATGTTACTGCTGCTGCTGTTGTTGTTTTGGTGGTGGTGGTGACGGCGGGGATGTTGTTGTTGTTGTTGATGATGAATTTGCATTTCCAGAACTATTATTGACCCCCCTGCCTGGTAACCACTTTTTTTACAAATGAAGTGTTTCTCTCCCTGGGCTCGCACCCTGTTTTCTCACAAGGGAAAACGGGGGGTCACCAAACTGCGTTGCTGATCCCCAGACTACAACAACAACGGTTTCCGCCTGATACTTCCCCACAATGTGTTCCCAAATCGCGCTCTCGCGCGGAACGTCCTCACCATTCATACAGGAATCGCGCTCTCGCGTGGGATTTCGCCATTTATTCAGACGCCGCGCCCTCGACACTCAGGAATCACGCTCTCGCTGTGGATCTCCTGGCGATGTATTTGGAAATCGCGATTTCGCTCGAGACTTCGTCGCGATTCATGCGGGACGCACGCTTCAGCAATCCGCCTGCTCGACCTGGCCGCCTGGGCCCGCCTTCCAGACTCGCCCGTTAGGGTCTACCCGCCCGATTTGCCCGTCTGGTTCTGCCACGTGTTTTCTGCTCCTAACCCTCGTCCTGCTACTGTCTCTCGTGCTCCATCCTCCTCCCTTCCCCTTGTCCCTTCCGCCCGTCCTCTCTTCCACTGCCTCAGGGGCTGCACTAAATACACCTTGCAGGTAAGGAAGATGTATACCCCTAATGGGGGTACGATCGAAGACGAAGAGGGCGGGTACCGAGGGTTTGGGGTATACGTTTTGAATTGCCCTCGAGCAGATCAGAGTGGACAGTCTGAAATTGATTTCTGTGTTGCTGTCGTCGTTGTCGTGGTCGTTGTTGTGGTTATGGTTGTGGCTGTGGTCGTCGTCGTCGTCGTCGTCGTTGTCGTGGTGGTGGTGGTGGTTATTGTTATTGTTTCTGTTCCTGTCGCTGTTGCTCTTGTTGTGGTTGTTGGAAAGAATACGTATTTTTGTCCCCCCTGCTGACCGTTCTATTTTTCAATTTCAGTGCTCCTGGGACTCGCACCCTGTCTTTATCAGGGAAAATCTGTGGGCACCAAGCTGTGCCGTTGGCCCCTGGTTTAGGATAAGAGGGGATGAAGGAGGACGAATAGGAGGAGGCGATGTGAGATGAGGATGACGTTTCGGCATGGGCGCTGGAGACCCATCAGCACTGGGTTGTAGACTCCTCGCATGCCAGCCTCTGCGGGCGATTGTGATTCGCTTACTCAGCAGACCTTTGTTTCTCAACGGCGTTCAGCATACGTAGCTGGTAATCTTTTGGATCAGGAGTGGTGCACTGCACCTTCATTGTCCTGCAGCATGGATGGTGCTGGTGGGAGGATGGGGAGCAGGAGGAGGAGGAGGATGAGAAGGAGGACGAGGAGGAGGGGGAGAGTCGACGAGGAGGGTGATCTGGGGGAGGAGGAGGTGGAGGAGGATAAAGAGGAGCGTGCGCTCCAGGAAAGGAGGAGAAGGAATAGGAATCTGATGTCGAGCAGGAGACGCCTGGTGCCCACTCGGGCGCGCTTCTGCTCGCAGCGCTGTCCTCTCCCGGTGATCCGTGGCCTGCCCTGGCAGGCTGCAAGATGAGGACGCTGAGGTCCGACAGTCAGCCACCAAGGCGGCCGGTGGGAGGAAGGGAGTGGACCCGCCATGACGAACATGAAGAACGGAAGACAGAGGGTGTCAGTAGCAGTTCTCCGTTGATTTCATCTTCGCATCCCATGACCTCTGGCCGTGTGTGTGTGTGTGTGTTGCATCTTCGGGCGACGCCCGACGGCGGGGGAATCGGCCACACTGGCCCATCTGTTGAAGCGAGGTATCCTTGGGCAACATCTTCTCTCCCTCCCCCTGCCCCCTCCCCGCCTCCGCCTCGGCCACCGCCTTCGCCTCCATCTCCGCGCCTGGGCTCCCCCCCCTCCTCCTCCACGTCTTCGTCCTCGTTGTCCTCGCGGTCGCCGTCCTCTTCCTGCGGCCCTCGCGAGAGAGGTGACGGGGGCGGGCCCCATCCAGGATATCACTCTTGCAGCGTAATGCGTATTCACAGTCCAACCTTCGCGCACCCTGGCAGCGACTCGGCCGCTGCATGGGTTCCGAGGCCACGGCACAGACGCCTCGGTGAGAGCGCGCGCGCGTGCGCGAAGAGGCGCTTGGCAACATCGGCCGCTGCGACAAGGACTCCCTTCTCTGGAGGTGGATGAAGAGGAGGCGAGCTCAGGCCACGGGACCCAGATAGTTTACCATGACCTTTCATGCGGGCATGCGATACGCCGTCGTAGCCCTCGCCTCCCCTCCAAACCTCTCCGATCAAGCTGTGGCAAGTGTTGCTTCACCCCTCGTTCAGCGAGCGAAGAACGGTATAAAAGAAACTTTTTCGCTGTCGGGGGCGCCTGTCCCTGGGCGGCTGGAAAGTTTATACTCCTACGGTGTTATCGTAAGGGTATAAACTTTCCAGCCGCCCAGGGGCAGGCGCCCCCGACAGCGAAAAAGTTTCTTTTATACCGTTCTGCGCCCGTTCACTCATTCCCGTCCCGTCCCGCCCCCCCCTCCCCCGCTCCGGGGCCTCCCTATCGCGGGGACGGAGCAGACGGGGTCGGGGGCACCGCGCCTCCTCGCCGAGATGCGGCGCGATCCGGAGTCCGATTCTCTCTCCGTCCCCGGGCCGCACCGGCGCCTCGGCGGTGCACCGCCGCCTGCACCTGTGCGCTCTGCCGGCCCCGCCTGCGCGGGCCCCGGTGGCGAGGGAGGCCTCTCTCGCGGAGGAGACGGCGAGGCGCAGAGGATGCGCGGGAGGGCGCGGAGGAGGTGGACGGGGCGTGGGGCGGAGGGGGAGGGAGGCGGACGGGGGGGGGGATGAGGACGAGTCGCTCCAGAGCGTTCCTCCTCCTCCTCCTCCTCCTCCTCCTCCTCCTCCTCCTCCTCCTCCTGCCGGGGCTCCATGGGAGGGGGAGGGGGGCGCCCACCTGCCTCCCCTGCCGTGCCCTCCAGCCTGCGGCGGCCCAGCCCGACGGGGCCGCCGAGCCCGCGCGGTTGTCCGTGCTCCTCGAACCTCGGGCTCTCGCGCCATGGGCCCGGCACGGGCTCGGCCCCTGTCAGTCCGCGGCCCTCGGGTTTGCGTGCTGGCTCGGTGGCTCAGAGATGGCGTCCCGAGGGATGGGGTCCTGAGGCCTGGGGTGCCTCGAGCGATGTAAATCCAGCATTAGGTGCCTTCCCATCTCTAGGATCAGGTCGGGCATGCCCCCCCTACAGGCAGATTCTGAAGAACAAGTTTGAAATCCCCCCGAAAGACCCCCAACTGGCAGGAAAATAGTCAAACAATCGTCCCCAGATTATTTTTCGACTATTTTTGAATATTCCACCTGTAGAGGGACACGCCCGACTTAACTCTAGGACCCCATCCCTCAGGACCCCATCTTTCAGCCACCGACTGGCCAGGCTTGGGCTGGGCCAGACCAGGCCACGCTGAGCCAGCCGAGGCAGTGTGGGGCCGATGTCAGCCGAGCGAGCGCGAGGCTATGCCGAGCGGAAGGCAGGCACCAGCGTGAGCCGCGGTGATAGGCCATGTCAGGGCGAGGCGAGCCCAGGTGCGCGCCGCCTCTTCCGCCCCACTCCGCCGCGCTAGTGGAGGGATGACGATGATGCTGATGCTGATGATGATGCTGCTGCTGCTGCTGCTGCTGATGATGATGATGATGATGATGATGATGATGATGATGATGATGATGGTGCTGCTGATGATGATGATGATGATGATGATGGTGGTGGTGGTGGTGGAGGTGGTGGCGGTGGTGGTGATGATGATGATGCTGATGCCTGATGCTGGTGGCAGGATGGTTGTTATGGTTTGATGATGATGATGCTGATGATGATGACGATGATGATGATCTGGATGGTGGTGGTGGTGGTTGTTGATGCTGATGCTGATGCTGATGCTGATAGCTGATGCTGATGCTGATGATGATGATGATGATGATGATGATGATGATGATGATGATGCCGATGATGATGATGACGATGATGATATGCTGAATGGTGGTGGTGGTGATGATGATGATGATGATGATGATGACGCCGCCCGAGCTATGCGTAGGATGAGGAGGAGGAGGAGGGAGGATGAAGAGAACGAGGCGGAGTCAGGAGGAGATGAGGAAGTGGCAGAGCAGATGAGGAGGAGGTGAGGAGGATGATGGAGGTCAGGAGGAGATGAGGAGAGGGAAGGCTCCTCCTCCTGCTTCCTCCATGCCTCCTCCTCCTGCTCCCTCCTCCTCCTCCTCTTCCTCCTCCTTCACTCCTCCTGCTCCTCCTCCTCCTCCTCTTTACGGACCTCCTCCTTCCTCCTAGCTCCTCCTCCTGCTCCTCCTCCTCCTCCTCCTCCTCCTCATCCTCCTCGCTCCTTGCCACGTTCTGCCCTGCCACACTGCCATACCTCCTCCTCTTCCTCCTCCTCCTCCTCCTCCTCCTGCTCCCTCCTCCTCCCATCCCCTCCTACCTCTTCCTCCTCCTCCTCTGCTCCTCCTCGCTTCTCCTCCTCCTCCTACCCTGCTCCTGCTCCTGCTGCTCTCCTCCTCCTCCTCCTCCTCCTCCTCCTCCTCCTCCTCCTCCTCCTCCTCCTCCTCAGGAGGAGGAGGAGGAGCAGGAGGAGGAGGAGGAAGAGGAGGAGGAGGGGAGCAGAGGAGGAGAGGAGGAGGAGCAGGAGTCAGCAGGAGGAGGAGTAGGGGAGGACAGGAGGGGAGAGTGAAGAGATGAGGAGGAGGAGCAGGAGGAAGGAGGAGGAGGAGAGAGGAGGAGGAGGAGAGGAGGAGGAAGAGTAGGAGGAGGAGGAGCAGGAGGAGGAGGAGGAGGAGGAGGAGCAGCAGCCGTCCCGTTTTTTGTGTGTGCTGTTTTTGGCGCCGGGCGTGAGGGCCCTGCTCGCCGCTTCGGGCCTGGTCGGCGGCGCGCGCAGGGGGAGGCGCGTGGAGGGCGGCCTTCACAGCATGTCGGAAGGTCCGCTGTTCGGCCCTGTCATAGGGGAACAAAAAGTGACATAAGCATAAAAGCTCGGAGGTCCGCGCGGATTTCTCGGATCGGCGCTGGGGCCCCCCGGCGGCGCCTCCGCGCCGATCCGAGAAATCCGCGCGGACCTCCGAGTTTTTATGTTTATGCCACTTTTTGTTCCCCTATGTCAGAATCGGGTGCGTATTAATGGGGGTTGACTCACAGATGGTTCGTGTCGTGTCGACCGGCGGCGACTCCGCCGCCGGCGTTCAACGTTGAACGCCGGCGGCGGCCCAGAATCAATCGACGTTGAACGATCCTGACGTTTCGAGAAAGGCCGATCTTTCAAGGTTGAACGGTCCGTGCGGTGTCGGGAACCAACGCCGGGGTCGACACGACACGGACCTGCCGTAACTGGGCTTGAAGAACAGGGCCCGAAAGGGGCCTTTTTGTTCCCCCCCCCCCCCCCGTAGGTCACCCTTGATGACCACCCGCCCGGCAGAAGTCGGTGTAATTCGTTGCATGGTATCCGACCCGGGGATCCAAACTATTTCCAGGTCGGTTTCGGAGGAGGTGGCGGCGATCGCGGCGGCCACACACCCGGGCACGGTGCTTGTCGAGGAGTGGTATGCTGCTTCTTAGCCCCCCCGAGGTAGACTTTGCTCACGAGTAACAGTCTAGCGACAGCGAGCTGTCAACTTATATCCAACATTGACAGCCATTTTTCATGTTCAGTTGAGTGGTCGAGCATCACGCAACCTGATTTTTCGCTCCGAGGGGCTCCAGAGGCTTCCGATAAGGCCTCTCAGGAGCCTTCAGGCCCTTCCCAGTGATGCCCTGCTGCCCCCTAAGCGGGCCGCCGTCGGAGCCAGTCCAGGGACATCACACGTTCTTTACTCGGCAGCGAGCGAGGGGGGGGAGTCAGAAGGAGAAGGCCTTCTCGGAAGGCGGCGGGACTTTTCAGAAGCCTTAGCGCCCTCTGAGAGGCTTTCTGTCAGTGTCTTCGGGGAAGGCTCAGCCAACTTCTCCCAGAAGGGCGGGAGACCTCCGAGCCTTCTGGGAAGGCCCGCCCCTTCTCACTTCCCCCCTCGCTGGCCGCCGATTTATGGCCACGGGTAGCCATGAGAACGTGTGATGTTTTTATGGCCACCAGTAGCCGTAAGAGCGTGGGATGAATCGTGCCAGAGCCTTCCGGCACGATGCAGCGGGGCGCGCCGGAGTGCCCTGGGGCTGCTGCGGCGCGCGAGGCGTCCTCTAGACTCTCAGAGATCTCCGAGCTGGGGGAACGAAGCAGGTATTGGTCGCGTAGGGGATCGACTGCAGGATTTGATTTGCCACAAAATTGCAATGTTCCCGCCGAATCTACGAACAAATACGTGGTATGTCCCGTAGCTCTGCGAGCACTATGCGTTTCTTGCATATTCGGCGGGACAATCAATTTTTGAGTAAATTAATTCTGTAGTCGATCCTCTATGCGATTTGATACCGCTACTCTCTGGATCTCTCTCAGGGGGCGTTCGGACCAGAATCTCGAGGCGAACCCAGCAGCGGCGTCAGGTGACCCGAAAAGGCGAAAACGAGGGATCGGCAGCGGCCTTTGTAACCTGTTCCTCCTGGGAGATTTATCTGGGTCCGATTTTTGTTCAGGTCCCGTGCTCGTTTGGCGCCCCCCCAAGAGGGGGGTGATGATCAGGGGGAGTGCATACACACATATACATATATATATATATATACATGCATATGTGTGCACACATGTACATGTATGTACTTATATTTTTGATATTTAATTGTTTATATAAATATTTGTATATATGGTATACACGTTCGCATATGTGTATATGTATGTATGTATGTATGTATGTATGTATGTTTGTATGTTTGAATGTATGTATGCATGCATGCATACATGTATGTATGTATGTATGTATGTATGTATGTACGTACGTATGCATGTATGTATGTATGTATGTATGTATGTATGTATGTGTGTGTATGTATGTATGTATGTATGTATGTATGTATGCAGACAGGTAGGTATGTATGTATGTATGTATGTGTGTATGTATGCATATATGTAGGTATGCGTGTCTGTATGTATATATGTATGTATGCATGCATATATGTATGTATGCATGCATGCATGTATATGTATGTATGTATGTATGCATGTATGCATGCATGTATGTATGTATGTATGTATGTATGTATGTATGTATGTATGTATGTGTGTGTATGTATGTATGTATGTATGTATGTATGTATGCATGTATGTATGTATGTACATATGTATGTATGTATGTATGTATGTATGTATGTATGTATGTATGTATGTATGTATGTATGTATGTATGTATGTATGTATGTATGTATGTACATGTATACGTATACGTATACATATACGTATATGTACATGTATATGTATATATGTATGTATGTATGTATGTATGTATGTATGCATGTATGTATGTATGTATGTATGTATGCATATTTGTTTGTTTGTTTGTTTGTTTGTATGTATGTATGTATGTATGTATGTTTGTTTGTTTGTTTGTTTGTTTGTTTGGTTGTTTGTTTGTTTGTATGTATGTATGTATGTATGTGTTTATATATATATATATACGTATGTCCCCAGCTTTCATGGCGCCTGTTCTACCTCGATGCGTCTCTGGCCCCCTGGGGGCTGCGCGCCCGCCGCTGGCCATGATCGTGCTCCTCCCTCTTGCACGCCCCTCTCTTGTCGGCGTCACCCCGACATACTAATACTATGTGTGCGTCGCCCCCCCCAGGGGCGACGCGCGCACGCAGAGCTCTTGCAGTAGATGCATCGTGGCGGGCGCTTTCTGGCCACACCGCTCGTGAAACGATGCACTAGAAGATGGGTGCACTATGATGTTTGGGTCGGACGCGCACCTCCAAGGAGGACATGAAGCCAGACATCCGGCCGCTCCAATGCGTGGGCCCTGGAGGTCCACTTCCCCGGGGCCGGTTTTTCGTCCTGAGTTGCTTTCTGACGCCCCCGAGGCCTGGCGAGGGCCCCCAGAGGCCCCAACACCGCCCAGATCCCGCCGCTCCCATCTTTTTGGAGGGAAGGATCTCTGGGTCGTATTGGCACGTCTCTGTGCGGCCCCTCTTGGACGCCCCCGGCTCCGTCGCGCCCGCTGCAGCGCGCGGCCGGGGCCGTCGGGCGCCGAGGCCGCCGGGCGCTCCCGCGCGCCTCCCGCAGGATGCCGTGCTTGCGCTGGAGGGGCGGCTGGCGGACCCGGACTGGCGCGGCCGCGGAGGGGGTGGGGGTGGGGGTGGCGCGGGCGGGCGGGGGTTCGGGGACCGGGGTGGGGGGGAGCCGAGGAGGAGGAGGAGGAGGAGGAGGAGGAGGAGGAGGAGGAGGAGAAGGAAGGGGAGGAGGAGGGGGGGAGGAGGAGGAGGAGGAGGAGGAGGAGGACGAGGAGGTCTCCGCCAACACGATTATACAGTGCAGCCGCACGCTCGCCATTACCTTCCAGCCTAACACTGTGGTGGGGGTTGGATGTTCATGATGGGAGGCGGGGGTTAACAAGGAGGTGTGGCAAACGGCGAGTCTCAGCAAATTTCATGTGATTATCTGCACGGCCTACTCTGGGCCATCCAACACTGATCTGGCCAGCCTTTCAGAGCCTTGCAGATAGCGCAGCTTTCTGCCAACACGCTCAAGCTTCTCAAGCCTGGTACATAACACTTGAACGCCCTCACCCCGCAGCTCCAAGCTCTTTCCGTCTTACTGATGCGTGCGCTGTATACTGCTTCGTCGGCACGTCGGAAGGGGAAGAGCCCCATGATTCTTCCCACTGTGGACTTCTGTCGCCCAGCTTCACACAGCCAGCGAGCTATCTTGTGTCGCTTGCTCTGTTTTTTGTTCTTACCGCGCATCATGTACTATTTACTGCTGGCCTTGATAACCATGGCGGGTGTGGCAGGATATGCGAAGGGGTGGAGGACCTGGGTAACACCAGGCATTGCAGCGCCACTCCTTGCTGTACGGCCTGTTGTTGTACGTATAACTCAATCCCTCTTCGTTCGGTTCATTCCTCGGTGTTCGTGGTGGATGTTTGATTCATTCGGTATTGTCTCCTCTCTTTACCTCACCGCCTGTCGTGCGCATACTCTGTGCCTTTGTGGGCCCACTGGCTTTTTCTTCATCTCGTATGCCCATCCGTTCTCAGCTGTGCCCGCCAGGCGCAAGTCGCTCGCTTGCAGGGCTAAGTCGACTATCCTAATTTCAATCTCACGGTATCCAGGACGCAACAAGCACCTTTCTCCATGTCTGATCAACGTCACAAAGGAGGAGGAGGAGGAGGAGGAGGAGGAGGAGGAGGGGGAGGAGGAGGAGGAGGAGAAGGAGGAGTAGGAGGAGGAGGAGCGGAGGTTTTCGGGAGGGCTTCGGCTGTTTTCAACGGGAACCAGTCCATAGCGAAGCCTGGACCTTCTAACGGTAAGCCTTTCCCGGTCCCCAGACGTCCATTTCCCGAGTTGTTCCCAGCCTCCCGCCCTGCGAGGTGGAGCGACGCGCTATCCGCTCGCAGGGTATAGCGCGTCGCCGGGGCCGCTGCGGCGACTCGCTAGGCAAAAGGTCCAGCCCGCAGAGTCGACCCGTGTAGTAAGGTTGAGCGACGGTTCAACGCTACTCTTGCATCTTTCTTTTTCGGCCCACCCTCAGCGACCTCCGCTGGCCAACCTCGTCCGAAAATCGTTAACCTGGCCCTGAAAGGCCCTTGCATCCACCGTGTGTCCTTCTGATACGGGTTGACTGTGCCCATCGGTCGTTGAAAGTATATATTTTTGGATTCCCAGATTCCAACCTACTTTAAGAGCGCCTTCCTACTTCAATGATCGAGTGGCTTCACCTTTTCCGTCCTCCTTAGAGGGCGGACTGAACCCAATCTATCTTCAACGCTTTCCTACTTCATTTCGCGGGCGAAGAACAGTATATAATCAACTTTTCCGTCACTGGGGGCGCTGCCCAAGGGTGGTTGGAAAGCTTATACCTTGACGTGCCACCGTAAGGGTATAAACTTTCCAGCCGCCCCGGGACAGGCGCCCCCGACAGCGAAAAAGTTTATGTTATACCGTTCTTCGCCCGTTCATTCATGTCTCCATCTACTTCTTCCGACCGATGGGCAGTTGGTGCCCTCCCACCGCAGCAGTGGCAGCAGCACCGGCGGCCGCGCGCGCGCGCGCCTCTCGGGGTGTGCGGCGGAGGCGCGTGAAGCAGGCGGCCGTCGAGTCCCTGGAGCGGCTGGCGCTGGCAGCCTCGAGGCAGCGCGGTGGCGGCCCCGACTCGGAGGGCGCCAGGAGGAGGAGGAGGAAGGAGGGGAGGGGGAGGGGGAGGAGTGGAGGAGGAGGAGGAGGAGGAGGAGGAGGAGGAGGAGGAGGAGGAGGAGGAGGAGGAGGAGGAGGAGGAAGAGGAGGAGGAGGAGGAGGAGGAGGATGAGGAAGACGAATCATAATTATAATCATATAAATGTGCTTACTAATCAGAATACGAATCAGCATACAAAGACGAATCATTATAAGACGAATAATACGAGCCATACGGGTAGTACTAGTACGAACACTAGTGGTAATAGTCACATTAGTAGTAATAACAAGAATACGAGGAATACTAATGATAGTAATCTTGCAAAAGCTGATACTCATAGTTTGAGAATATATTATTAAGGAGCATCGTATGACTAATAATATAACTTATCATACTCATCCTAGTATTTAATACTGCACGTAAAAGAATATTAGTAATTATAATACTATGAATAAGAATAACGGTAATACTATTAATCGGAAGACGACTAATGATAATAACGTTACGGATGCTACTAATACTAGTAATCAGAAGAATATTTCGAATAGTAATAACAAGATGAACCATATTAGCGATGACGCGTAATTTCAATAATCATGGTAATACAGATAAACAGAAGGTAGTAACAGTAATAATACATAGTAATAATAAATGCTACTACCAATAATCATCTTAATGCTGACAATAGCAAGAATAATAATGATATTACTGATTATACTAATACGCATAAGAAGAATTTCCATAACAATGATAAGACACATAATGTGAACAATGATAACAAACTGAATAATACTAATAAGACCCATTATAATAAAAATAGTAAGAGCACTATCAACAATGCTAATCATAATCACAATAGGAGGAGGAGGAGTAGGAGGAGGAGGAGGAGGAGTAGGAGCAGGAGGAGGAGGAGGCGGAGGAGGAGCTGTGCACCTGCACGGATCCTGGCAGGGCCCATCCCCAGACAGGCTCGCGTGGTGACAGAAATCACGGCGGGAGGTTTTGGGGCCGTTCTCGGCCTCCAGGGGCCCTGGCCCTGGCAGGGCCCATCCCCAGACATGCTCGCGTCGTGACAGAAACCACGGCGGGAGGTTTTTGGCCGTTCTTGGCCTCCCCGGGTCCCGGCAGGGCCCCGAGGCTGTCAAAGAACGGTCCTGGACGAAAACCCCGTCCCGGGAAACGGTTTGAGCCCTCTCGGGGTTCCGTTGTGAAGAAGTCACGGCGTCGGGGGTTTGGGTGTACGTGCCCGCTCGGCCAAGCAAGGAGGGCGCCGCCCTGCAGGTGCGGCCCTGACTGGCGGCGCACGGAGAGATATCCTTGCGGCTGGCTCGTCCGCGTCAAATAGTGACATCAGCATGTTGAACAACGTGGGCCCCAACCAGTGTGTTTCTAGCAATACGGTGTGCAATCTGTGTGGAGTAAACTATGTAGTGCAATCTGTGTGGTGCATTCTATGCAATCTATGGGGTGCACCTTGTGGTGGAGCAACCGATGTGATGCAATCTATTTGGTGCAGTCTATGTGGTGCATAGTAGGTGGCGCAATCTATCTGGTGCCATCAATATTGTGAAATCTAGGTTGTGTAATCTATGTTGTGCAACCTATGTGGTACAAACTACCGATGTGGTGTGTAATACATGTGGCGCAATCTGTGTTGTTCAATCTATAGATATGTGCAATCAGTGTGGAGCAAGATAGGTGTAGCAATCTATGTGAATCAATCTGTGTGATGCATCTATGTTGTGCAACCCATGTGGTGCAATATATCTTGTTCCACCCATGTGGTGCAAACTATACGGTCAAACTGATGTGGTGCAATACATATATATACATATATGTTTAAATATATGGCGCAAGCTGTGTTGTGCAATCTCTCTCTATATATACACATGTGTGCAATTCGTGTGGAGCAATCTGTGTGGACCAATATATGTGGTGCGTCTATGTTGTGCAACCTAGGTTGTGCAACCTATCTTGTGTATCTAGTCTGTGCAATCTATATTGTGCAGTCGATTTGGTGCAAACTGTGTGGACAGTCTAATTTGTGCAATTTACGCTGTGCAGTGGATGCTGTGCAACCTATACTGTGCACATAGGTGGTGCAGTATATAACCTGTAATATACAAACATATATATATATATATATTGTGCAGTCCATGTGTTTCAGTATATTTGTGGAAACAGTGTGGAGCAATTTAGGTGGTGCAATCCAAGTGGTACAATCTATGTTTTGCAGTCAAGGTTGTGCATTATATATTGTGCAGTTCATGTGTTTCAGTATATTTGCGGAAGCAGTGTGGAGCAACTTAGGTGGTGCAATCCAAGTGGTACAATCTATGTTGTGTAGTCAATGTTGTGCATTCTATATTGTGCAATTACTGTGGTACAGTCTCAGTTGTGCAATATATTTGGTGCAAATGATGTTGTATAATCTATGTTGTGCAACCTATGTCGTGCACTATGTGTGTGTGTGTGTGTGTTGCAATAGATGTTATAATCAAGGTGGTGCAAATTATCTGGCGGCGGCGAGGTTGTGGCGACGAGGCGGCGACGGCGACAACATGGCCGCCAGACCGCCACGCCGGCCCAGACGACGGACGGTGACGCGGCGGCGACGGGGCGGCGACGGCGACAACACAGCCGCCAGACAGTCACTCCAGCCCAGCTCGTTAGAGCAGAAGTAAGAATCCCTGAGTGCAAGCACTGTTTGGGGAACAATACGAGAATAGGAATTAGAGATCAGAGGAGGATGTGGTGGAGGATGAGGAGGAGAGGAGGAGGAGGAGGAGGAGGAGGAAGAGGAGGAGGAGGAGGAGGAGGAGGAGGGGGAGGAGGAGGTCCGCGCGGGTTTCTCGGATCGGCCGTGGGCCACCCTCTCTAGCGGCGCCGGCGGCGCGCGGAAGCGCTGGAGCCCCCGTCCAGGCGCGCTCCGCGCGCCTTGTAGGGGGGCCCGGCGCCGATCCAATCGAACGCGTACAGTCGGACCGAGGTATAAGATCGAGGTTGGTTCGGGCAGGGCACCCCAGTGCTCTTCGTGTTTGTTGGATGTTCTTGTGCATCCTGGGGAGGGTCCCCTTGGATGCTCCGTTTGTTTGGGCCGACGAAGGGTCTCATGCTCTTGAGGGATGTTCTTCCGGCCTAGGTCCGACTGTAAGGGTGCCCCTTCGCCGGAGTGACCTCTGCTGCGGGCTCACCGGCGTCCCCGCGATCGCCGAGCGCGACGTGCCAGCGAACACTTGCGCGCTTGGGTTGGGCCATCCTGCGCCCCCTGGGTCCGCGCACCACGGGTCGCTCCTGCCCAGGGCTGCTCCTTGCGTGCAGCCCGTCCAAGGCATCCGCGTGGGCCTCCGAACGGTTATGTGCTCATGCCATCGCCTTTTTCCCGACGTGGGGCGCCGGGTCCGTCGGGAGACCGCCCGGATGCGGTGTCCCCGAGGGGCGGGCGCCGGGAGGTCCCGGGACCCGCGCCGCATGCGCGGGTGCGGGCGGGCGTGTGTCAGGTCGCAAGGCAGTCAACATGTGTATCCCAATCCCTCGGTACCCGCCCTCTTCGTCTTCGATCGTACCCCCTTGTGTGGATATTTTCATTACCTGCCACGTGTAGTTGGCGCAGCCCCTAAGCAGGGGAAGGGAGGAGGAGGGAAGGGACAAGAGGGAGAGAGAAGGATAGAACACGACATAGACTAGCAGGAGAGGGGATTCAGCAGTAGAAGAACAACCTATAGAACCAGACTATCGGATCGGGCTGGCGGATCCTCATGGGCGGATTGGGCGGGCGGGCCCAGACGGTGGAGTTGAGCGGGCGGATCACCGAAGCGTCGTCCTGCACGAATCGCGAGGAAGTCTCGAGCGACAGCGGGATTCCCAAGTATCTCGTAGCGAATTTGAGAGAGAGAGAGAGAAAGAAAGGGAGGAGCAGAAAGAGAGAGAGAGAGAGAGAGAGAGAGACAGAGAGATTTCTGAGTGTTGGAAGCGCGGCGTTTCAATCAATTGCGAGGAAGTGCAACGCGAGATGGTGATCCCTGGATAAGTTGTGAGGCAATCCCGCGCGAGAGCGCGAGTTTTCAATACAGCGTGAGGAAGCATCAAGCGGGAACCGTTGTTGTTGTTGTTGTTGTTGTTGTTGTTGTTGTTGTTGTTACTGCTGCTGCTGCTGCTGCTGTTGTTGTTGTTGTTGTTGTTGTTGTTGTTGTTGTTGTTGTTGTTTTTGCTGTTGAACATTATTAATTTTAAAGAATAATTATTGTTGGGACCCCTGGTGCGCGCCCCCCTCGCCGCGCCTAGGCCGCAGCCACATTTTCATCATTTTCGTGAGGAAGTCTCAGGCAAAACGTGGGTGTCCGGATCCGGTTGTTTTGTTGACGCCCGCTTTCCCTTGCAAAAAACACTATAAAATGAAATTTCTTGTTCTAACATAACCAAACTTCAAGAATCTTTTGAAACAAATGACACGAAGTGCACACTCGCGCGCGCAAGATGAAATCCTTCCAAAACCTTAGTTTTCGTAGCGATTTTAACATAAAAACATGAAAAAACCCAATGGTTTTTCAAAAAAAAAGTTTCAAAAATTCATCTTGCGCGCTCTTGCGGATTTCTGAGGAAACCCAATATTTTTTCAACATTTCTGTCAAACGGGCTCTTGCGAGCAACTTTTTCACGTGCTTCGAACTTCTGCAACAACGGTTGCGCGCATGCCAGGGCCATCATCCCTGTCAAATAATACCATATTGGACACATTCGTTTTTTCTTCGCGCGCGCACGCCGTCGTCGTCGGCCGCGGGGCCCTGAATAGTAGCCACGGTCGTCCGCATGCCACGAAGTGAAGTGTCCGAACGTCATAGGGCGGGAAGCTGGGTGTGGTGGTGGCGAAGAGTCGTATGGAAATTTGGTAGAGCTTGAACCGGCCCCCCCACAAAGTGGGGGTATTGCCCGCCTCCTATGAAAACCCTGGCACTGG